TTTATCTTTTTATGTTAAGATTTTTTAAATATAATTATCTTTTTTATTTAAGAAGTCATATTAAATCTCAATTACTAATAATAAAAAATATGTAGTCAAGATTTTATGTAAATAATGTATATAGGTGGATCTTTAACTTAAGAAGAAAATCACTCTAAAATTATATTATTTTAATAAATTCTCATTAAAAAAACTAAAATACCTTTTTTAAAACATGAATTAAATTGTTTTTACTTTTTTTTTGTGCTTTATCTATTTTTTATTTTTAAAGTTAATTATCTTTTTATTTAAAAAGTTGTAATTAATCTTGGTAATTAATAATAAAAAATGAATTGTTATGATTTTATATAAAACTACTTAAATAGTTCTATAGTAATTACTTTCCATGAAAAGTAAAAGATCATGAATTTGAATCATATGGTATAAGATAAGGTGGATTAAGGGATAGGTAAAGGATAGGTGAAGGTTACTTTTCATTATGTAATCTAAGATGAAAAAGAAAATAAAAAAAAAAAGAGTTTCCTCTCTCTTTGTATATGTATATGGGATAAATGTTTTATAAGGTTAAATTTTATATTAAAAATGTAATTTAGATACTAAAATTATTAAATTGTTCGTTAATAAAATATAATGAGAAATTATTGCTTTATTAGAATCAATTGATTATATGGCAATTGGAGAGGAGGTTTGCAGGCAGTTTCCATCTGGTTTTCCTTTTCAAAAAAAAAAGAAAAAGAAAAGAAAAAAAAAATCATCAATTAAGTAGAATCTAGCTTTAACTTTAATGAAATTTCTTATCAGGAGTGCCTTTTTCTCACGTGGAGGTCCATTTCTTACACCTTTCCTTTCTCACCAAATTTCGAAAGGAACAAAGCCATTAGTATTCGGAAATTTTTAATATGTGTCTTTAATATACATATTAAAAATTTTTAAAAATAAATATTAATATTTAATTTATTAATTATTTAATTAAATTTATTTATATAATAATTTTAAAATTAATATTAATTTTTATAATTTTATATAAATTTATAATAAAAAATATTTTTAATCTATTTTTAAAAACACATATTAAAAAAACTCTTATTATTGTT